GGAGCCTGGCCCTGCTGCCCCCGCTCACCCGCTTGAGGTCCTTCAGCCTGTTGTACTCCTCTGCCACGTCCTGCCGAGGGAACAGGGGGGTCACCACGGGCTGCCACCACAGCTGGGGGCCACCGGGGTGGGGTGGCCCGTGGGGACAAGTTTCCTGATGTCCTACGGTGTCCCCAACACCCCACAGCAGCCACAAGACCTTCCAGCATCCCAGATGCTCCACAGCAGCCCCAATGCTCCGCAGCATCCCAAAACCCTGCAGCATTCATCCTTGATGCCTGCAGCATCCCTGTTTCTCCACAGCATCTATCCTTGATACCCCAAAGCACTCACCCCTGATGCCCCAAAGCATCCCAGATGCTCCACAGCACCCAGCCCTCATGCTCCAAAGCATCCTAGATGCTCCACAGCATCCCAAAACCCTGCAGCATTCATCCTTGATGCCTGCAGCATCCCTGTTTCTCCACAGCATCTATCCTTGATCCCCCAAAGCACCCCAGACGCTCCACAGCACCCATCCCTGATGCCCCAAAGCATCCCAGACGCTCCACAGCACCCATCCCTGATGCCCCAAAGCATCCCAGACGCTCCACAGCACCCATCCCTGATGCCCCAAAGCATCCCAGACGCTCCACAGCACCCATCCCTGATGCCCCAAAGCATCCCAGATGCTCTACAGCACCCAGCCCTCATGCTCCAAAGCATCCTAGATGCTCCACAGCATCCCAAAACCCTGCAGCATTCATCCTTGATGCCTGCAGCATCCCTGTTTCTCCACAGCATCCATCCTTGATACCCCAAAGCACCCATCCCTGATGCCCCAAAGCATCCCAGACGCTCCACAGCACCCATCCCTGATGCCCTAAAGCACCCCAAGACCCCACAGCACCCACCCCCCGACGCCGCACAACATCCCGGCTGCCTCCCCAGCATCCATCCCCGACATTCCTCAGTGTCCCAGTGTCCCCAGGGAGCCCTGACCTGGTACTGGGGGCTGTCCTCGGGGACGCTGTCGAGCTGCTTGTTGAGCTGGTTGAGGCGGTCGTTGACGCCGTCCATCTCGGCGCAGAGCTGCTTGTAGCGCCTCAGGTCGGTGTCAAACTCCTGCTTGTAGCGCTGGCGGGTGGCAGGGCAGGAGATGGGGGGGTAGAGGCTGCGGGAGAGGGGCAGGGTCAGGCCCCCGAGGGGTGGCTCTGGGTCTGGGGAGGTGCACAGAGATGGGGTCTCAGGGGTTTTTGCCCCCCCTCACCTGGCCCACTGGTCCTGGTCCCGCTCGTCACTGGACTCCACGGCCGTGGTGTAATCGGTCTCGTACTGGGACTCGTCCAGCTCGGGGTTGCGGCGGCGGCGGCGGCCGCGGCGGGTAGGGGGCTTGGGGGGCTGTTCCCTCCCCTTCTCCTCCACCGGGCTGGGGCTGACCCCCCGGTCTGGCTGGTCACCGCGAGGGACACGGGGACATCACCCAGTTTAGTGCGATTACGGGGAGAAGAATATCCCAGGATCGCACCCTCTAGCCCTTCAACCCCCACTCACCCCCTGCTGCTGTAGGTCCCGGGGGGGTAGTACCCGTTTTGGGGGGCACAGCTGTAGGAGGGGGGGCTGTAGGGTGGGGCTGTGATGGGGCTCGTCGGCTTCTCCGAGTAGGCGAGCGTGGCCGTCTCGTCCTGCACGCTGGCCCCGTCTGCCACGTTCTTCACCTGCAGCAGGGAAGGGGGGGGGGCTCAGCCACATGCCAGGACACTGGGGACACGCCCAGGAGGGTCCTGAGAGCCTTCT